CTGCTAAAGATTGTATTGTCAGCTTCACCTGCATCATTCTTTAATGATCTCCAATGTGGTTAAAGCACTTTTGACTGCCACCTCATCGATCAGTGATCACGTCTTAGCACTGTACGATTCTGGAACATTTAGCCATTTTAGTGTTGAAGTGAGTCATTTTCTCACCCATGCACAGAGACACGCGCGCTCTCTGTCTCACACACTCTCTCTGTCTCACTCTCTCTGACAGCTGAAACTGCTTAGTCTAGTTTCAGTGATTGTGCACACGTGAGTAAGCATTTCCATTACTGGGGGATTTCTTGAATCTGCCTTTGGAAAAAGTTTACAGCAAGAAGATTCCTGGAATCTACCAGTAGTGACATGTAGGAGTAAAAGAAAAAGTTCTTGCTGAGTGAGAAAGCAAGATGACAACATAGCAGGAAGAAAAATCATCTTAAGGGTTCACAGCAGGAGTTAGAGCCAACGGATGGTGACTCAAGTGGAAGAACCCAGAAATGATGTAGCGGGAGATAGATCTAAGAAGTGACACAGCAGAAGGAGAGGAACAATTTTTTTAAGGTTCCCCTGGTAACCTTTAAACAAAAACACCATCAGGTATAATACTAAGCCATACAAGTCAGAAGATGGAAGGTTTGAATTGAAGTCTTGTTATCTAATCTGAGGTAAGGAAAGAGTAAAGAGTGCTAAAGTTAAACTTAATACCCCTGAGCTAGAAAAAAAATTGTGATTCATCCTCCTGATTGCTATCTAGTGAACCTCATGAAAAAATACTTAGGTCCATATCACTGAGCAAGGATCAGAATTGGTGGCAATCACATTGACTCTGTGCTGAAAGATGGCTATTTTGTTTTTGAAGTTGCATCCTGGGCCTATGAAACCACACTCCCAACAACAGAGGAGGAGGGAAGAAGATATGCAAAATAAAAGCAAAAAGGCTTGTGTTCCCATGATCATTTAAGTTAAATGTATGTAAATCGATTTAATTTAAATTAATTGTATTAGTTTTGCCTCGCTGTGGCATGGGAAGAGTACCCTTAAAATGTAATAGAATCCTAGTTACGGTTTCCCTTTTTCCCCCAGCATCTCAAAGCGCGTCACAAGATATGCTGTAAAGTGGATTGACTTGTGTTTGGGAGAAAAACACGGCAACCAGTTGGACGCAACAACAAAATACATTTGTATAGCTCCTTTCACGTCAGGAAGACGTCCCAAGGCGTTGGAGCAATATACCCACAAACAGCCATGGAATTAATGGTCACTTTTATCTAAGGGATTGTTGGCCAGAACACCTGGAGAAACTCCCTTATTTTTTCAAATAGTGCTATGGGATCTTTAATACCCACCTAAACAGGCAGATGAGACCTCAGTTTAACGTTTCATCCAAAGGATGGCAGCTCCGACAATGCAACACCACACAGGTCTGCATTGGCATTAGGCTGTGTGATTCCTAGTCCAAATGTGGAGCATGAACCCTCAACCTTCTGACTCAGAAGTGAGAGTGCTACCACTGAGCAAAGCTGACATACAATGGCAAATCAAGTACAATGTGACCATTTTGTATTCTTCAGCTTTCTGTGTACAAATACACAGAGATTAGCTACACTTTACAGAAAACTCTGAAATACTTTGAGGTAATTTGATGGGATAAAGCACTATATCAGATTACAAGGAATTCTTGTTATCCTACCTAGTTAATACATGAAAACTTAAGAATGCATTTTTAAAATTTGTTATAAATAATTCTATAACACCTATAACATTGAATGTCTCAAATCTCATAAAATTTCTGTAGTTATTGACTATTTGTAGACAATATCAACAAAATAAGGTGCATACTCATTCATTTTCACACCTCTATAGCTTAATTCCCACCCCCATTGGAAAATATAATCTCAATCTCAATTGGAAAAATGCTGAGTTTGATATCTAAGGGTAATAACACACTGTATCTCAATAACATTTCAGGTATTTGTTCCAGTGATATGATGCTAATTTAAATGAATTTCAAGTGTTTGTGTCAGGATGGTGCACGTCCAGATGTCCAGCAGTAGTGCTGTATATCCTTTAGTGAAATAAAATTGCTTTTTGGTAGAATATACAATGTTATATATCAATTTATATCAAAAAGTGACAAAGATAACCAGAGGACTACAGACCGATAGTCCTAATTTCCCTATCTGTTGTAGGAAAAACCTTGGAGGGTGATCTGCAGAGGGAATAGTGACATACCTAAAGATGTGTAGAATTATAAGACAGAGTCAACCTAACTTTATGGAAAGGGGATTATTCATTACAAATCAAGTGGACTTTAAGGATGCACTTGATTAGTCATGAATCTTGGGTTTGCACCCAAACTGCGGGATAAATCAGAAGATTGGGGTTCAAGCCCCAAGACTTAAACTCACTGTTTAGACTGATACTTCAATACAGTGCTGGATCAAAATTGCATTAGCTATGTTTTGGGTGAATCAAGAAACTCAGGCCCATCTTCCAGTTCAGGTGGATATTAAAGATCGCATGATAGCATTTGAAAAGAAAAGAGAATTTCTCCCATTGTCCTGGCCAAAAATCCTCCAGATAAAATTAGGCATTCAACTTCATGGTTGTTTGTGGCATATTGCTGTGTGTAAGTTGACTGCCACTTTCACCTGCATATACAGTCACTGCACTTTACACTAAATCCTGTGAGACGATTTGATGACATGGTAGAATGTCGTATCTTGCACAGTTTTTCTTAATATATATATATAATGTGAATTGACTATTGTTCGTGGGGAAATGCGGCAGCCAATTGCGCACAGCAGTGTCCCACAAACAGGCTTGGATTGAAGTGACCAATTTTTTTGAAGCAATTGTTACTCCCGGGAAAGCGATCCGCCAATCGACAAACAACCGGGCTCCTACTTACCACTAGGTAAACAGAGGTGTTTAGGGTAAGGAAAGTTGCTCAACATTTTGCCCTGCCGGGAATCAAACACAGGTCTCTTGTTTGCGAGGTGAGTGCTCTAACTACAGAGCTACAGGACTTCCAAAATGATTTGGAAGTGGGGACAAGTTGACGTTGGAGAGACAAGTTCCCTCCCCACCTAGTTAACTTTGGGAGGTGTTTTGATACGTCCCCTTGACATATATAAATTGGTGGTCGTGTTTGTACAGTGAAAGGCAATTGAATTGACAGTTGGAAATACATTTCAAAGAGTGACTGGGAATGTTCACATTTGAAAAAAGGTTCAGGGAGATCTTATTGAAATATTCAAGGTCCTAAAAGGTATAAATAAAGTGAACTCTAATAATGACTTCTTGGAAGATTTTCGTGAAGGAGATTAATGTTATACAATCCTACATACTGAGCCAGAGAATTATCTTGCTTTTTTGCTGGGTTAGCAGAGAATCAAAGACACAGGTGAGAGAAAAGGAGAGAGATTGGTGAAGACGTGCAAAGCAAGGCAGCTGGGGCAGGAGATGATTGAGTGGAAAAGAAAGCATTGAACAAGGTTGATTGTGGACACAATGAAGTCTCACATTTTAAGTTGCAGGTAAAGATGTAAGGAACATGGGAGGAAGGAAATAGATGATGGAGCAGAGAAGTTTATATCTAATGCTACATCCTCCAATGCTGTTCTCAAGCAAATGGTTATCCAGTTTGGGTTCCTCCTGACGTGAAAGGCACTATACAAATGTAATTTGTTGTTGGAAATCTTCGCTCAATGTCAATGTTTATGCAACCTTGCTATGCTCTTGTTTGTTTATGGAAGTTGAGTGAATGAGGAATTAATGTTGGATTACTTATCTTCCTCATTCTTTGAAATAAGTTCAACTTCCACATTCAAAAAGTCCTGCACAGTCTTTATATCAATTCTGTTTTTCAGATGAAACTGTGTTTTTTAATAGGCCAGTGTGAAAGTTCGGATCTGTGATATATTAATTAACAAAATTGCAAATTATTATCATTACATTGAAAGATGTTCTCAAATGCGATTTGATTATGTTCATCGAATCTATGAATATAACCCCCCCAATCACAATGGCCTGGCTCACCGGATCACAGTATAGAGTGCCAGTTTGTGAAATACCAACCTTCGGGTACACATATTAAGATGGGGGGAGTGGGGGAGCTTAGTTACATCCATGTACCAGGGTTATCTTTAGTTTCAATGATGATAATTATCACACTTGATATAGCACATTATTATATATATAGGCTTGACTATGCTAACTCCCTGCTTGCTGGATTTCCCAACTCTTCCCTCCACAAACTGCAGATTATTCAGAAGTCTGCAGCTCGTATCCTCTCTCGCACTAATCTCCATGAGCAGATCACCACAATCCTTGCCCGACTCTGCTGGCTCCCCATCACCCAAAGGATCGAGTTGAAGATCCTCATCCTCACCTTTAAAGCTCTCCACGTTTTGCTCCTCCCTTTCTCTACGACCTAATAAACACTACCAACCTGTCTGCCCAGTGGGCATTGGCCTGCTCCCTGTTCCCTGCCCTATCTGCTCCACCATCGATAGTGAAGCCTTCAGCCTTTCTGCCCTCACCTCTGCCTCGCCTTCTTCAAGGGCTATTTCAAGACCTTCCTTTTTGACTTTGCCTTCAGTCATCCTCCCACCCCCATCCTCCTTGCCCTCCACCCCTCTTGGCTCTAATCCACAGCTCAAGTGCAAACCTTCACTGTCCCATGCCTTGAGCTTCCTTCCAATGTGAAAGACGCTATATAAATGCAATTTATTATTTGTTGTTATTGTTGTTATCACATCAAGATGTCTCAAAGTGCTTCACAGAGTTTTTCCTGTAAAGTATGCAATTGCTATTGGCAAGTACGTTAAAGAGGTTATCAAAAATTGATTTTTTTAAAAAAAACATAATTTCCCAGAATCATCAAATCAAACTGCTTTGTTGTTGTATAGTACAATATTGAGTTAGGACTTATTGCCATCATTGGTTTTATGGGACTCAGAATTTTTTATGTTCAAACCTCTGTTTATTTTTGCCCTCAGACTTACTCATATCCTGCAACGCCATTATACAAGGTAGAGGTGGTTTCCAGTGCACCAGTACAAGAAACTGTAAGTAGGCATTAGTCTTTGAATGGTAGTATCAGGTGGTTCTGTTGATTATCTACATCCAGAAAAGGCTGTTACCAATTCCTGAGAAAAGGCAGTTTTCCCCATACACCTGGCTGGTATATTCTTTTCCTCTTTTGTAATATAAATTTTCAAAGAGCCAGTACACACTTGATGGGCTGAATAGCTTTAATAATAATCAATAATCCTTGCATTTGATATAGCGCTTTTCACGTCGGGAGCGACTTCTGTTTTTGTTCCTTTTTGTACTCCATTTAAACTGTGAGGAATTATAATAATAGCTGCATTTGATATAGCACCTTATCATATCATTGAGATGTCTCAAAGTGCTTCACAGGATATACTGCAAAGTGTGTAGTTTGGGTCAAAATGCAGCAGCCAGTTGTCCCACAACGGCAATGTGCCACAAACAGCCATGGAGTGCATGACTCCAATTTCTTTTGGAGGATTGTTGGCCAGGACAAGAGGAGAAACTCCCTTCTCTATTCGAATAGTGCCATGCGATCCTTTAATATCTGCCTGGACAGGCAGACAGGACCTCGGATAATGTCTCATCTGAAGGATGGCACCTCTATCAATGTAGCACACCCCCAGCACTGCACTAGAGCATCAATCAGACATACCTGCTGGGGGTATTTTGCTAGTGAATCTATTCTTCTATTTCACACGTGGAATTAAACAATACTTTTAATTTGTTTTCAAATCTGCATATTTCCAAAACAATAAGATTAACATTAAGACACTAAAAATATCTGCAACCATATAATAATAATAATCCTTGCATTTGATATAGCGCTTATCACGTCGGGAGGACGTCCCAAAGCGCTTCACAGAACACACTGTAAAGTGAATTGGCTGTATATTTGTGGTGGAACGCAGCAGCCAATTGCGCACAGCAATATCCCACAAACAGTTATGGATTGAAAATGACCAATTTATTATTATTTTGTTTTTTTGGAGGGATTATTATTAGGCGTGTGGAGTAAGGAAACTTGCCCAAGGTTTCGCCCTCTGCCTGGAATTGAACTCAGGTCTCCCGCTTGCAAAGCGAGTGCTCTAACCACTGAGCTACAGGACTCCGCTTTCTGTGTTGTACATTTCTATGGTTTATCTAATTCTATGGATGGAGTAGTTGTTGCCACTTCTAACAAACTCTGATAAGCTATCTGCAAAGTAACTAGGTGGATTTCCTTTTTTTACTGTGTTACACATCAGAGAACCAAAAGAAGAAATATGTAAGTTGTTTCACAGAATGTTTTAGAGAATACATCACAGTAAATCTTCCTGATGCTCCCGTTTGCTTACTGGAAGTATTTTATGTGATTATCATAATGTGTGTATTGTGAAGAAGGGGAATTCTAGCATCTGTAGTTAGTTGTATACTATGTCTTTTACATTTTTTTGAATATAATGACTCAATGAATTAGTGTTCACTGTGTGGCTTAAAAGCACGTCCATAAGACAGTGGTATATATGATACCGTGCACTGGAAAAAACACCATCACACCTTCAAGGAAGAGCATCTCCTCAAAGGAGCCCATGGTGCCATCTTGACTCAGTTGGTAGAACTCTTGTCTCTGAGTCACAAGTTGGCTGTTGTGTTCACTTACAAGCTGAACAGTCATTAAGTACACTTTACAGTAAATCCTATGAAACACTTTGATGTAAGAGGCACTATATCAAAAGCAAGGATTATTATTATTATGTATGTCATGCCAACTCACAATAACTCTGTTCTGACTTGTGATCTTATCAGAGTCAAAGTTTTACTGGTTGGCCTGACATAAGTTGGTTTCTCTGGAGGATACACATTTTATGCCCCAAAGTGGTATTTGTAGTGTCGTTTTCCCAAAGGGCATTTGGAACCCTTAATATGATACTAAATGATAGATCACGGGATTATACCTGCAATTCCTCTTGCTGTAAATTCACAATTTTAATAAGCTATTAGATGAGATGTATGGGTGGATTCTGGGCCCTTCTCTGCAGACAAAAAATCAGAAGATTTTGCCTTTGTTTGTGCTGCTTGTAACTGCTGGCTCAAGGGTGGCATTTGCACGCACATTGAAACAAGTCACATGCATATCTTTCCATCAGGAAATTACTGTCTGATATAAGAATTGTACTAAAAGGGGGAGAGAATTTATTTTTTACAACATAGAGAAAATTAGTAAAAAGACAATTTTTAAAAAATTTACTAAATTAATTTGTAAATTAAGTGTTTCAGTTTTCCAGGTTCCTTGGTAATGTGCTGATTTTCAAATTTCATATTTATATATTACTGACACTTTCAGTATGACGGTGTTTCCTCATAATGATCATTGAATGTACAGCTGTCATGTAACTTTTATTTGCAAGATATTATTAGTGCTAAAAATCCCACTCAGACTTTCCAAAATGTATCAATGTGTGATTGGGAATTAACCTTTTGAGTACAAGTTTCAGTGTGCACGCATTTATTTTTTATCAAGTAGCAGCTGCAAAAAAGCACTCAAAGGGTTAAACTGTGCTGCTCTGTCAATGAGAGCTGTTTGATCTGTAATTTTGGAAAATAGCAGTGCCTGTCTTGCAACATTAAAACTACTCGATGTTTTTCATTACATTGCTGTTTCAGTTGAAAGTGTAGTTTTGTCATTTTTTGAAAATGTGTAGAAACTTTCACAAGTAGAATTTCAATAACAGCAACTTGCACTTATGTAGCGCCCTCCATGCAGGGTAGTGTCTCAGAGTGCTTAACAGTGGCGAAGTTGATTGGTTTTAGGTTGATTGGTTTTAGGCATAGGGTTTTGGTGTTAAATTCTTAGAACATTTGCAGGTGAGGCTACAATTAATGTTTAATAAGTTATCATTAACACAACAGCAGATGTTGTAAAGCTATCTTCTCAAAGTGGAATGTTTAACCATCTCTTGAATCCCATGGCCCTTTATCTCACAACTCCTGCTATGTTCCCACCACCCCTATTTCCATCGACAAAACCCTAGACAGCCTCAAGTCTTACCATAATGCAGCTTTGGTTTCAGCTGCCTTGCTGCAGGAGGAAGTTAGTGTTGGGGGTTTCACTCTGTGGCATAGTTGTGATAAAACTGTGGCGGTCTTATCTCTCTTAGGTCGTAGCTCTTTATGACTACACAGCGCATCGATCAGATGAGCTAACCCTTCAGCGCTATGACATTATCCAAGTGCTCTACAAAGATAATGAGAACTGGTGGTTTGGTAGACTGGCCAATGGACAGCAGGGCTATTTTCCAGCGAATTATGTGGCTGATGCAAGTAAGCTTTTGGCTTCCTCTTCTCTTTTATTAGTACTGGGATAGAGAATGTGAGATTTTTTTTCTGTTTAAAAAAAACTAAAATAATTTAATGATCATGTTAAGTATGGGACTTTTTAACAAACAGGAATTCCTGAAGAAGAGCTTACGAATAACGAGGACCATAACCCTGTGGTACCAAATGGCAACGATGAGGTAGAGGAGAGGTCGCCAACCCCAACCAAGGTACATAAGTTGATCAAACTCAGTGATTAGAAGGAATGTTCTGATTTGGTGAGTGGTCACAGCAGTTCCTTATTTATTCATCTGTAGAATGAATCATCAGTAATGTGGGGGAAAATCCTTTCATGGTCATCCTTCCTGGATGTCACTACTTCAAAACTCTGAAGAATTTGGTTCTGTTTTTTCTTCTTTTGAAGAGCAGAACGTTTTGTAAAGTTAATGATGGTGACCTGTATGCCACCATCTGTGATCATGGTATTGCAAAGTTAGCCAGAATTCAACATCAGAATTCAGGGAATGGATGTGTGGGATTTGTCTGTTATTCTATCACAAAAATACTTGGGTGAAAATCGTGACCCGTGTTGTGTTCACTGTTAAAAGTAAACGCAACCTGTTGATTTCTGAATCATTCACTGATCTGCAGACATGTTTGGGCCAGAAGCCAGCCATGCTATGCATTGAACTGAGAGTCAGAATGCAGAATTGGACATAAACATGATTAAAAACACAGCTTTTAATCAGTCCCCAGCACCACGTCCTGTGGGGCAGCAATCCAATATGCAGTGAGCAGTACAGCTGGCTTCAATCCCAGAGTTGTGAGTTGGGGAGAGGGTATAGTTGATAGTTAATTAACCAGTCACTTTTACATCAATGTGGTAATTCACATCGGTTTCAAGTAGTACATCATAGGTTGCAATTTCAATCCCATTGGATGTTTGCATTTTGTACACCTGAAAACTTTGCCTGCAATTGAGAAGTCCACGTGATTTCTAAATTGTAAGTAAGAAAGCAGATGAGTGTTTTTATATTAGCTTCATTTAATATCTCACACAAGCAAACAAATTAATTGTTTTGATGCTTATCGTTTTTAGATTATATGAAAGCCTTTTAAACAAGCCTTTTAACATTACTTAAATCCTGCACACCAGAAATTGAGGTTATGTTTGCTGATATCTGTGTGAAGAACCAAGGTCTGTAGTGGAGGACTCCCCAGAAGTTGTAAGAAAAACAGGAACAGGTTATACAGCCCATTGAGCAGCCTTCACAGCCTTTTTTGAATTTAGCTGTACTTTATACTTTTTATCTTGTTTCCCCACTTGTCTCCATATCTCTTAATACATTTTAAGTGGGGTCTCCTTGGAGCTAAACAAGGTGACATGCCTGGAATGTCGGAATTGAGCCAACCCTCTGTGGTGCTCTCGGTAGTCCGGGTCCTGAGCCAGGCCAGGATCCGCAGTATTCCAGGGCACTGCTGATAACAGCACAGCCAGTCTGGCTCATCAGCAGGACCTGGAAGGGGAGACCAGGCACTGGTCTCCCATTCAGCTCCTGTTAACCCTGCAAGTCAAAGCCCCAAAGTGCAGAGTGGTCCTATCTGAACAAGCAGCGGGAAAGCTCGCCAGACAGCAATATCAATAATAATAATAAAGCTATGTGGTTTTAGCTGGTTAGACTCCAGCAGTACCTCCACACACACTCTTGGGTCCCCAAGCCTTGGCTCTTGCCAACCTGCGCCTGCCTAATACTTTCCGGAATTAAGTAATTAGGATGTATCCCTCCAGGGAGAATGCACTTTCCATTCCAACAATTTATCTGGGATTTCCATGTGTAGGTGGGATTCATGGAAATCTCAGCTTGGTTTGGCTACAATGGTTTGGCACGGTGATGGGTGATTGGTTTCAGCATGTGTCAGACACCCGGCTGACCTTAAAAAAAGCACTCCCTAACTGTACATCTCTGGCACATCTTTACTTCGTCTCAGCTGCTTTCTTTACTCAGCCTTCTGCACGCCCTCCACCCTATCTGTGGGCTTTCAGCCATTCTGCCCTTGCTTTCTGGAGTCCATCCAACTTGCTCCCTCCCTCCCCTTATTCAAGGCTCATCTCAAGACATAACTCTTTGACTGTGCTTTTCGTCATCTATCCCCTCCTCACCCCTTCAGCTCCCACCCTCATCTTGGTTGCCCACCCAGCAGTGTCAGTCAGTTCAAGATGTTCTTCCAAAAGCACGATATAAATGTAAAGTATAAATGTAAAGCTCCCTCTTAAACACCTCAATCAATTCTTCATTTCTGACGATCTGTCCTCCCGACGTGAAAGGGGCTATACAAACGTAATTTTATTGTTGTTGAGGTAGTTTGTTCCACAATTCTAAAGCTAAGCTTGAACTTTAAAAGTCAGAAAGTTGCGGAAAGAAAGTAGGACTAAGGGAAGTAAAGAGTTGCATAGTTTTGAATTCCTGGGACAAAATATGTTGGAAGAGGAGATGGTGATTTATGGTGATCATTGAAAGGTCCTCAATACACACACCCATGATTCTGCCTTTCTGAATCCTTTTACATAGACAAATATTGGGCATCCCCTTGTTCACTTTTGCTATGTTAGTGTTCTTTATTCTGCTACTCACAAACCTTCACATATCCAAGTTTATCACAGCTTCCTAAAAGCAACTTTGAGAGGCATATCAACAACTACAGTTAACAGCTAAAGAAAATTGGTAAATTTGGTAAATAGTTATACCAGCTATGCTTGTTTTCACTGATGATTTTATGTTGCTGGCAGATTTGTCTATGAATCTCTTGGATTTTACTGAACATCTTGAACTATGATTTAAACCAGCAGGATATGATAATGGTGGCCTCAAGTACAGTATTAAGATTATGGTTCAAGGGGAGACCTAGAAGGTATTGATCTGTCCCAGATTTTGATGAGGATGTCATTGGAAACAATTTTTCAGGATTATGCTGAGAGTTAATTCCTCGGATACTTCGTTTTCCTTGAAGAGAGAAAAAAACCTCAAACGTTCCACCATTAGGATGTAATTGCTTTCTCAAACTGTCACAGAATTTTCTGTGAATTGCAGCCATTGAGACAGGGAACTTTTAAGGACGCCATATTCCCGGGTAACTGAAATCTGCTGTACTCATTCAAACCAACCAACCGTTTTGACTTGAACTTTACAATGCCCCTAGAGGATATTATTTCCATTGTGGAGTCTTCCATCTAAAAGTAATCATTAACCTCAAAGTACTGTTTTGCTATTTTCCATAGTAATAAGAGACCAACATCAATGATGCCTCCAACTGCTCCCCTCCTACAATCCTGCACAGTGCGGATTGGTCTTATCCCATGCCTTCCACATACTACTGCAGAGAACACCTTGATAATCCTTGCAAATAATCCTTGCATTTTGATATAGCGCCTTATCACATTGTTGAGACATCTCAAAGCGCTTCACAGAATATACTGTGAAGTGAATTGACTATCTTTTATGTGCGAAATGAGGCAGCCAATTGTGCACAGAAGTGTCTCACAAACAGTCGTGGATTGAGTGACCAAATTATTTATTTTTATTTACTATTTTCTTTCGAAGGGATTATTACCCCCAGAAAGCGATCTGCCAAACGACTAACAACCGCTTATTATTATTATTATTGCTAGGTAAGCAGAGACTTGCGGAGTAAGGAAACTTGCCTAAAGTTTTGCCTTGCCTAGGACTTGAGCCGTGGTCCTGTCACTTGCGAGATGAGTGCTCTAACCAATATACTACAGGATTCCACTTGATACTCTATTGGGTAATCATTTTGTGCAAGTGTGAATAAATACCTTTGTGTTTCTATTTTGCAAACCTTTTTCACATGGAACTTGGTTAAAATCTTGAGTTTGTTTTTTCTCAATGTATGTAATTATAGAACATACAGAATGTTAGAATCAATTTTGGTACACGGAAAAGGATTTTCTTTTATTGTGGTGGGAAAGTACTTCTGCAGTTCTGCAAGTGTTAATAAAAATAACGCATGAAAATTTAAAATATGGCCCCAGGTGTATTTACCAGTTGTCTGTACTGTTTTGGTTTTCCCTCAGTATGTAAAGTGGTATCTCCTGTATCATGGGAAAGGTAGAAGGCTTATTGTTTTTCTCTGAGCTTGTAGATTGTAACCACACACGGGTGTATCTTCGGGGCAAACAAGTTCAACTTTTCAAACAAGCTGCATACATTCCAAGTACAGGAAGCCTGTGGCTTTACATATGTGTCTAAAGAAAAAAAGTGTGAGCCCACCCTTCCCCCTCCCCTTCTTTTCACTGATCCACCTTTTGTTCTCCTACAGATGTCAGCAGTCATCAGCAAGGCAGGGGAGCTGAAGCTCATTGCTGAGTATGACACAGATACAGAATCACCTGTGAAACCGTAAGTAACACCATTTCAGATCAACGCATATCAAATCTGAGCAGCTTTCAGTTTTACTAAGAAATATAAACAGTGTTTCCTCGAACTATTTCCAAATTAGAAGAAAGCTGTTCGCAGCATACAAACATCTGGGATGGTGGTGTGGTAAGGGCCTGATATCAGCAAGGTTCAAGTGATGCCTGTAACCAGGCAAGGATTTATGGGAATATAGAAATATTGAATGGACAACCCTGAAACAGGGCACTTGGCACATCAAGTGATATTCAATGGCAGTGGTATTTTTCTCTACGTGAGCCACTGAGTCTAATCCCACTCTCCTGATTGCTCACTGTATGCCTGTACTGCTACCTTTAATGATCTTCTCAAATAACTGATTTATTAAATAACTTTCACAAAGTCTTGAAGCATTTTATAGAGAATAATTGGTAATTAGGTGAATCTTATGATGTAGGCAAAGAATGCAGCAATATTCTCCAAACAGCTTGCATTTATATAGCGCCCTTCATGTAACATAATGTCTCGGAGCACTTCACAGATACAGATAGATGCTGAGCAAAGTAAGGGGGGGAAGATGATTGTAGACTCCGTCAAAGAGGTTTTGAGGTAGGATGAATAAAGGGCCAAGCAGAAGTATGGGGTAAGAGATGATCACACAGTTGAGGCGGTGCTAGGGCACAAACGGATTTATGGCTCACTTTTAAATACCACCATAACCTCAGGACCTCACTTTTCAACTGTGCTTTTGGCTAGCTTTCTCCATCCATCCTCAGCTCTCCCTTCTTGGTTCCCAGTCAGCTGTGTGAAGCGCTTTGGGATCTCTTCCCAGTGTGAAAGGCGTAATATAAATGTAAATTGTTGTTGTCTTGAATGCCTCAACTCCAAACTCTTCCCTGAACTTTCATGAATCAAATATGAACTTCAAAGAACTATTCAATTTTTGGAAGGAGAGAGAATGAACATCAATAGTAACATTGTGTCTTGTTTACAGCAGCATGAGTTCGAACCACACTCATCTTGTTCATACCTCAGTGTGAATAAAACATCATTAAACAATGAAACAATGGTCCCTCAGAAATCTGCTAACCTTTATCCTTACCATCTTTTGCATAGAAATATTTGTGGCTAGGACAATTTTTTTAAATTATCACACTGAAAATAACTTGATGGTTGAATAAAACTTATTGAATTCCAGTTTGTTAGCGGAAGGCTCCTGCAAATGTTCTGTTTCAGTGTGGGAAAGCTACAGACTTGATTTCTGCCACCTACAAGCCAGCAATGGAGCTAAACTGACAGCATTGTGGCAGTAAGGTCCATAATTCAAATTGTTCCCACCTTTTCAAATAGAAGAACACTCAGTCTGCAGGAAAAGGAAAATAAGCACTACATTAAATAAAATTACCATAGGAAGTCACTTAAAATGTATTGGTATGCATTGCATTGGTCTCAAGTTAGAGTATAGGTATATCGGGCACCTTTTTTTTATGTGAGACACTGACAGTGTCATTTGTCAAATAATAACACGGACTGGAAAGATTCAGCTGAGTCATGTTTATGGTACAAATTTTATTTTGTTTTATTTTGTACCACAAAGCAATTCATTTTCTTTTTTCTCTCTTTTCAGGGGTCCAAGACGCTATTGTGCGTGAAGGGCCCTATAGAATTGCAAGAAGATGTAGGTCTCCTGTGCCGCATACCAGAGTAGTCAGTTATTTGCCATTCTCACAAGTTTGGCTAGTTTCTGCAGTTACCCCATCCCTTCCTATGGGGACATTTGTTTTTACCTCATTGGTTGCCCTCCACGTAGTATGAAGTATTGGGAAAGTGATTTTGTGAGGTATTGTGGCTAATACTGCATAAAGCAGTATCTTGGTGTACTAACTAACTAAAACTTCTAAATTAGTCTATTTTTGTTGTATTTCTTCACATATAATAAGCAAACTTTATATTAATTATAGTTGCTAAAGTATAATTCTAATACAGATTTTTTTAAATGCCACACAAATTAGGAACTGCTAACACTTCACAGGAAATAAAACTTAAGTTATGTTTTCTCACCTTCCAGTCACAGTGATAGAATTCTCTTGACTGTGTGTGTGTATGTTCGTGGACACACGAGAGCCAGCAAGTTCAAGTGTGAAAAAAGCTAAGAAACGATCATCAAATATATATTATCTCCATGTACTTACCCTTCACCTATTTTGCTTCCAGTCATCTTTTCCCTCCCAGTCGAGTTCCTAGTCAGAATTGTTGAGGGCTTTGAGATGTCCTCCCAACTTGAAAGGCACTATATAAATCTAGATTGTATTAGATGATCAGCAATGATGCACCAATTCTGTTAATGTTAACAAATCCATGATCCTACTACTTTTGTAGCTGAACAATTGCAGAAAGATTTTGTAGTTTATTCTGATGATATAATTTACCAAGATTACAGGAAGTACCTTGTTCAGGTAAACGTGTTGACTCTCATCCCAGTTTATAGTAGGCATAATGAATCAGTAAATAACTGACTATGCAACAAAGATATTAGTGTTTTCAAAGGAATATAAATCATAACCAACATTGCAATATTTACAATCCACAGCCATTTGAAATATTGTTTGTGTAGAAAAAAATGCACTACACTTTAAATATTTGTGCAAAATCTATGTACTCATGCTTTCAGTAAATATAGGTCCAGTAGAAAGGAGTTGCGTAGTACAACAAGTTCATTTTAGTATCGTTTTTATTATCCTTTTATATCTTTAGTTTTGTATTGATTTCAATATCCTGTCAATATCCTTGTAGAAACCAGGAGACGTGCGTAATTTGAAAGTATTGTATAATTGGCCCTGAGTGATAGACTGCACAGAGGTCTAAAGTTTTAAAGTGGAGATTTATACAGCAGTTACTTATTCAAGGCATAAGCTTTACAAAACAATAACAATAGTGTGCAGATGTCACTAGTGCTTTCTGAATTCCATGATTCATATGGTCATATATTATGATAAAGTGATTCTGGAGTTAAAACACTCATTAAAGTATTTGCATAAGAAGCATATTTGGAATAAGGGATTAATGTTTTCTTGATGATAAGATTTATAATTCAATTTGAATTGGGCTAATGTACATTATCTATGTTATCAAGCACTGCGTTCCTAGTCTAGTTTTGAGTATTCAAACCAAAACAACAACAAATTACATTTATATAACTTTAATCTGTTGGGATGACATCCCAAGGCGATGGGAGGTTGAGGGTTTGCACCTGAGTGGGATTTGGATTCTGGTTGGGTGGAAGACAAAGAAGTGGGAAAATCACCAAAGGCGGTTGTGTCAAAGAGGAAGGTCTTGAGTGGACTTTGAAGGATGTGAGGAAAGGGATTCCGGAATGGAGGTCCAGAAAGTGATGCAGAGGTTGAAGGCCCAACCACCGATGGTGGGGTTAGCAGGGTGGGGAACGTGAAGCAGGCCAGTGCCTGCTGGACAGAGGGAGAGGATTGGGGCAAGACCATGGATGGGATTTAAAAGTGAGGATGTGGATCTTGAACTCGATCCTCTAGGGCAGTGTTAGCTAATCTTTTTGGTTGGCCAACAAGGTGGGGCAGCTTCTTGAAGGTCCACAAGCCTAAGTTTGGCTGGCACTGCTCTAGGGGATATGGAGTCAGTGAAGGAGGGCAAGGATAGTGATGATAGGCTCACGGATCCTGGTGAGGAGAAGACATGAGCTGCAGAGTTCTCAATGGTCTGTGGCTTGTGGTGGGAAGAGTTGGGAGGTCCAGCAAGCAGAGAATCGGCATAGTGAAGCCTAGACATGGTGAAAACATGGATAAGGGTATCAGTTGGCCCAAGGGGAGAGGCAGTGGCGGAGGAGGGCAATGTTACGAAGGTGGAGAAAAGCTGAACGAGTCAGAGCACAGATGTGAGGTTTAAAGGACAGTTGGGAGTTAAACAAGATACTGAGGTTCCACACTGGCTCCATGAGGTAGAATGTGCATACACGTAGATTGATGCTGTCAATGCCTGAGGAGAGTGTTTTTAAAATGAGTGTATTTTTTGTCTAAGACAGTGTATCAGGTGATGAGGTTTGAATCAGTATTTTTGGGAGAGAGGAAATCACAGGGACAATATCAGATTTGCTGTATTTTCAATGCCTGTATTTTATACTGTGTTTTGGAAGGGTGTGGTTTTATTTCTCCTATCCTTAACACACAACAGCAGCAGCTCATATAGTTCTACAAATGGGTCATCTTCCAGTACCTTAAACAAGTAACCATTCTTTACTGAATCATTGACAGTGTGGCCCACACACATTTTCAAATAGATGTCACCAGTTAGTGAGTTGAAGTTGGATCCCTGGTTGAATTCCTTCCCCTTCCTTCCCTTTGTGCAGAATTATTGAGGCCAATTTCCACACCAGTTGAGATTGTCTTATTAAATACAAACCTATATAGTCTAGATAGTTTACGAGCATACCAGGTTGTGTATTTAACGTCTGATCAGTTGGAGCTAGTTATTTACTGTGTTTAAATTCCTTAAAACTGAAATGTTGTGTATTATTCTGAATTGTTTCCCAGAAGCATACGATCATACATTTTTCCCAAATTCTCTTCTACCAGAGAGCCAAAATGAATACTTACTACCTAAAAATGGAATGAAACATTGCATGCTGCAGTCACTAATCTGTGTCCAAAAATGTACCCTTCTACTTCAGATTATCAAAGAAGAAGAAAGTAAGGCAGGCAAATGCAGCAATTTCTCAATCCACTTCTTTAGTCACAAGTGAGGAATCTGGAACATCTGTAAAGAGCATGAAGAAGAGAAAGAAGAAAACGGGTGAAGAATCCAGTGTGAGAGGAGAGGTTAATGCTGCTTTTGTGTTGGGGTAGAAAAGCTTTCAAATAAATCCAATCAGATCAAATAGATTTTTTGAGGGATTGATTTATAATGATGTGGAAGAATGGAAAAGAACAGTATTATTTTTTATGAAGTATTTTCACTTGTAGTAGCTTTTTACAGCCTAGAAAACATTCACTGATGTGATACAATTGGGCTCCTCAAGCAAAAAAAACTTAATGAAGGAATTACCTGTAAAAATTCGCAAACATCTAATAAGATGTCAAGTCTTATAAACAATAAACAAGTCTTCAGGAAAACCATTCGGATGTTATGTGAGATTCATTATTTAATGACTTAATTTGCCAAAGGCCTAATTTGCAATGGTCTTTTGTTCAGCTTTACCATAGATTGAGTTCACATCAACTGAAGTAAAAGCATCAACTAGGACATGTATAATTTATTTAAACAATCATTGTTACTCAGACAATTAATGTTTTACTTTCCTACGTTTTTATCACCAGCATTTTGAAGTTCTGTTTGAGGTTAAAATATAACTTCTGCTTATATTTAATGAAACTTTCAATGTTATTTTCTATTGCTGTATTTGGCAAAAATCTTTGGTTTTCTATTTATATTCTAAGTTAATGCATTGCATTAAATTTAAAGCAGTATAATTTTATTGAACCATTTTTATATCAGTAAAAATTGAAGGGAAAGTTAATTGAAGGAAATGTCAAATGTCAAACCCATTCCCGGCAATCTTTATCCTTTGTTAAAATATTTTATATAAGCTGAAAACCTTTCTATGTCCAATCAGTTAACCCTGTCTAATTTAAAAAATATAACTTTTGAAAATATGTTTAACCTGTTTTTTGTATTTTTCCATAAATGAAAATTTACTTTTCTAAAGTATTTCGTACATATTGGGAGGTAAAGGTTGTAACTATCATAAATTGGATTTTCAATACTAGAATTTTTAATATTGATGCAGTTTTTGGAAAACTGAATTTTTAAAAATTATTTTAGCCTTAATCATACAGCCAAAGCAATGCTGTCACTTGCAATACTGTTCAAATTATGTGGACATTTAACATTGTGGGTCATTAATTATTTGATATGGAAATTCTCCAACTCGTGGCTTTTATAATTATTTTTCTGTAGAAAATGAATGTAATTTTAAACAATAAATGTTATTTTATTATGAAGCTTTTTATTTATTTGTCCAGTGGAAAGCCTAAAATGGTGCAGCTCTTCATTCAGACAGATTATAGAACTGTTTCCAGTGGCGATCATGTATTTCTTTACCGTCACTTTTGACTGGAATAGCAGCTAACAAAATTAAATTAAACATTATTTTATGGTAGTCTTTAATAACACTTATAGCCAAACAAATAATGTTACAATAATATTTTTGTAAGTTATACATTTCAATAACATTTTAAGTATTGGAAAAAAACATTGCTAAATCTGTCTGTTGGTATTTGTGATGATGAGATTGATACCCTGTTAAATGCCTCATTATCCAAACATAACTAGCAAAACATAACATGACTAAATAGTGTTTTTATTTTATTTAAAGCACTTTCTCAGTGCCTAAAGAAATACACCATGATTTAGTAAATTATTTGCATTACGTATTTTCACGTCCATTCTCACATTCTGTCTTTGATCTTGACAATAAGGCAATGTTCCTTATTCTCTGCTTTATTTCCATTATAGATTGTATTAGATCACTATTGACACTTTCTTGTTTTTTATCATTTGAATTTTAAATAATCTTTGTAATGGACTTTTTTGTAAAACAAAGGAGAAAGCTAATCCCTATAATAATTTAAAATGATGGGAGAAACAACTTGATTATTTATTCCAACATAAATAAATATGTTGTTTATTATTGTTAAATGTATATTATTATTGTTGAATCTTTACAAAGAAACTGAGCTGTTTGGGGATTTCTAGTAGCCATTTTTCCTATATAAATAAATCAGGTATAATTCGGATGCGTCCGTATTATAACCAATATAAGGGTTTTCAGTATAGAGAATAGTTTCACACTATCTGATTAAATAATGTTAAAAAGATTTCTGCATCTAAATTACAAGTGATTTACCTATATAAGAAAGATAGTTACTAGGAATCCTAAAACATTTGTTTCTTTGGAAAGATTCAAGTTGCTATTTAAGTTCTGACTACAGCTGAATTATTGCAGGGATTAGCTTTCACATTTGTCCTAGAAAAATGTTGTCTATCAATATTATATTAAAATTCAGATAATTAAACATATTCCTATGTATAGCATTTTTATTTCATGTAATATTGGTCACTCATTTCAATTGTGCCACTGCGTTTGCCTACAAATACACAGTCACTTTATTTCACAATAATTCCTGTGAAGCGCTTTGAGACGACCTTCCAAAGTGATAAGGCTCTATACCAAATCCAAGGATTATTATTCTGTTATTACAGTTTAAATCACTCGGTAGAGATAGTTTCTAAATGGTTTTCAGTGATGGTCAGCCAGACCAATAACACTGCCACGTTACATATAAATTGATGTTACTTTTCTTAGTATGTTTGAACTTGCTAAAGTAGCTAATTTTTTGCAGGAGGTTGATATTTTGGTATTTTGTCAAGTCATTTCTGAATAGTTTTATTAACATTCCCACTTGCACCGATGATTATAGGGTTATGTTTTATACTGCACATACGATTGCATTTAATTTGTAGATCAATATATTTCCTGATCTTCTCTAGTTCCATATTTCTTACGCTGTGATCACTAAGGAAAGCCACATCAGTAAGGCTACAGTTACAATCTAATTGGTTCTTTATGATAATATTTTGTTTGTTACAGATTACTGTTATGGCTGTATGTACTTGTAAATCCCAGATTATTGTAATGTTATTTTTTGATGTCACTTTTCTTGGTTGATGTTCATACCAGTTGGTCTTTACTTCAATATCAAAGTGTTTACAAATTGTCCAGTGAATATATTTAGCTATACTGTTATGTTCATTGCGTACTCTGATTGTGTTAGGGCTGGACATGATGACAATATGCAGTCTAATCTTTCTGGTGCTTGATGACATATTCGGAATTTTGTATCAGTGTTTCTCTTTAAGACCTTATTTTCATAATAACAGGTAGCAATAGATTGGCCTTGTGCTGATATTATGAGAACTTCTGTTTCGGCTTTCAGATCCCGTTAGTAAAGCAGTTGTAGATTTGGTTCATATTTCGGCCTTGTTCGTTCATTTCACTTGGAAATTGACCATGTATGATTTTGCTTTTCCCATTCGTTTTTCTACAATCTATCATTTTCTTTTTAAGGACAATTTTAATTTCATGTGCCATTTATGTTGGTTCTGATGAGCTGCTGTCCATATATTTTTGTCATATTCTTGTTTGATCTGGATTGCTTCTTCAATAATATAATGTTTTTTCTCTGCTTTTCATGTTTTTCTATCATTTTGATACTATCATTGGGGTTTGTTCTGCTATTTTCAACTAAACCTATAATTGTTGATTTATAAGATGCTTCAATTTCAATCAAGCCTCTTCCACCTCCTTTTCTTGGTATATAAATATGTTGGACACCAGCTCTTATATTAATGGTCAACAGTTTGAGCATTTTTATATCTTTCAGATCTTTGATCATCCAATTGATTATACCAAAGCTATTATTATTATTATCATTACAGGTTCTCTATGATTTCCTTATCTGTCTGATTGTTCTTGTTCTAAGTTACATTGGTAAATGATTATTGGAATTATTCATAATGTAAGTACATGAATTATACAGTCATGTAGCAGACAGATTTTGTTTGCATAGTTTACCAATGTAACTTATTTTTTATGTTCATTCATGGTGATGTTTTAAAAGTGAAAGGAAGCACTCAAATAATAATCTCATAAGAACAGTTACATATTGCACTATTTTGATCATGATAAGCAAATAAACCTGTCAGTATCCTGCCTATGTCTTTGCAAAATGATCTGGACAAATACTCTCAAGAGCAGTGTCTTGTCGTGGTGCCGAAATTGTTTGAAGGATGGAGAGACTAATATGGGTGGATCACACCCAAGTTAAGAGTAATTAGGATAACACATGAGGTCATGACAGCTGAAAGTCCTTGTTGACAAGTAGCCTAAAACTGCAGGTCGGCCATGATTGTTTGCTGGTTAATTGAATGTCAAGATCACTTAGAGTGAACAATGGTCCAATATAAGAAGGCATAGACAGAAATGAAACATGGCTGGGCTGGCAGCCCTTCTGCAGGACGGGAGACTTTGAGTTACTAATGAGGTACAATATTCATTACTTCTTTCTGCTCTAATTCCTTGAGTGAATGGGACATCCTTTTTCCAAGGCGGGAATGAGAAAAGGCATAAACATTTGTTTTGTAAATACTAAATACATTTCTATGAAGAATTTGAAATTACCTTTTTTTTGTGCAAAACTGCTCACAGTTATACTCATCTACCGGGTTTAGGTTTGAACTAGGAATTCGTTTAATTTTTTAAAATTTGCTCTGCAAAACTTAGACTGAGGTTTATCTTTGTCTGAGTGTTAGATTTATTTTTCCTAAATTTCAGGTACTTCATTGTTCTATTTTCATATGAAAGTATTGTTTTGTTATTAATCTTTTAGCTAACAATAAATGTTCAGTGTATCAACACCTCTCTGTATCCTAATGCGTGGAATTCAATTTGGAAATAACACCCAGAAATAATATGAATATAATAGGTAAGACTGATCTATTTATAACCACATTAATGTACTTTGTTGGGATACTTATCTGCAATGATATAAATGTACAATTATGATGTTGGTATCTCCCATGGTGCTTGTGTGTGTGTGTAAAAACAAATTTAAGATTAAAAATGAATGAATGTGCAGTGCCTCTTGGTTTCAAATCAAGTCATTACTAACCTATATCATATTCTACACAATACCTTATGGCCAAATCTCAGAATGCTGTTATTATTTATGTTGTGTACCTGTTTCTTGAAAAACTCGTTTTCAAGGAAATGAACAACAAATCAGAAACCTTTGATACAAGGATCTATGCCCTTAGTGTCAGCGCTAAAATGTACTGATGTGGCTCATTTGAAAACCTATTGTCAGCATCAACTGCTGTCCTAAAAGCATCCAGAGTTATTGCTGTGCTATTGAGCTTGATCAGCTCCTGAGCACATTCTTGAAAGTGAAGGCATCTAGAGATGTTAAAAAAGTAATGAAATTAACTGAATGTATTGCATTCATTATGATGTTGCAGTGCGCACTGACCTCCAACAGTCACTTCTGTAGCTGCCTTAAAAAGTAGAGTTGTTTCTTGATCAATGTTTTAACGAGTGTCCAATAATGTATCAAGGAATAATATGTGTATTGAGCTATTTTAACCTTAAAGTCGAGGAGTGTTTTGCGTGTGTTTTTTATTTTAAAATTATTCTCCATGCATGAATTACAAGAATGAGTTCATGTCTAGTTTTGAAATTAGTTTGCTGAATGGTTCAGCAAGACATTCTCAAGCATAACTTGAACTTGTCACTCTTATTCAAGTACAGAATGCTCTTGCACAGCCGGAGTTCCAGAGGGCAGAAAGATATGGCCCCCTGCAGTTCACAAGTGGAGCATTGCATAGTAACAGGCAGCACAACATCCCTGCCACATGCCAAAACTCCTCCAATGACTCTCTCTCCATTCAAAATAATGGAATGGCTTTTGCTCCCATACAATAGGACATCGGGGAAAATAAAGGATGTGTTCAGAACACCACAATTCTTATTTCAATGTAGTGAATGTCATTGCAATCCTAATGAATTAGCTACTCTGATCTTCGGCTGGAAACTAATAGTTTTAAATTGAAAGCAGACAAAAAATGTGAAGAGTAGTGAGTGGTCATATTTTTCTACAGATGTGACTAGCTGACCCTGCTCAAGAAAGATAGTAGAACGTATTAGCTGTTAACCACTTGAAGATTTTTGTGATCACAAATATAGAAATGGGGAAACTAAGCTCTATAAAATTCGACGTGTAATACTTGGAGCCAGGCCAATTTCACAACATCCTGCAATTAATTTTATATGACAGGTCAGACAAACTGAAAACACCCAGCCTAGTTTGGTAGAGTGTGTAGTTGTGCAGTTGTTATAAAGACAGGCAATTTTTTCTGAATTAGACATTTTATATGGAT